GGGGGGGGGGGGGGTGCGATTCGCGAATTCATAGGTAAGGCCGTAGCTATTGGAAATTGATGGTCGATACTTATAGAAAGTTAGAGGGAAATCGAATGAGGATGACGTTAACGATGGTTTAGTTAAAGGTAGCGTACACACTGGAGTTTTGACACTGATAGATCTATCTTCCGGAAGCAATCCTTTTTAACTGTTAATCAGACACGGGGTGGCGTCTTGTACGCGATTATCTGCGTTATGTTTGGGATACAAGGGATGCGGTGGAATAAGGGTTGCCGATTGACTAGATTATTTTTTTTCTTGAATCGCTTGTGCTTATTATTAATTTTTTTCTTATATTTTATGGTCTTAGGGTTTCCCTGAAGGCACCCTCTTTCCCTTACCGACCAGTCTGCAAGCGATGGGTGGTTTAATATTAGATTACTTATACCACCACCAGTAACGTTTCCAACCCCTACTGATATATCATCACCATCCACATCAGCCCTGTCATTTTACCGGAGCACTGTAAAATCGACTCCCTCTATATTTCACCGTGGAGACTCGCTGAGTAAATGGACAAAGGGATGAAAACTTTGTAAACGACACGCTCGACGCGACTCGACTAATTTTTGTTTACCTTTTCGTGCCGTTCGCGGGTAACCGGGACAGGCATAAAAAAGGAGGAAATAAGGAAGACGAAGTAAAAAATTATTATTATTTTTCAACTCCCCATTGCGAAATATGTACGACAGACTTGGCTGATCTTGAGGGAATATGGATGGGACTGGGTTTCCTTGAAAAAAATCGAAAATTTTTTTTAAAAATTTTGTAAATGCCTGACGAGATTCGGATAATTTTTGTTTACCTTTTCGTGCCGTTCGCGGGTAACCGGCACAGCCATAAAAACAGGAGGAAATAAGGAAGACGAAGTAAAAAATTATTATTATTTTTCAACCCCCCATCGCGAGATATTTACGACAGACTTGGCTGATCTTGGGGGAATATGGATGCGACTGGGTTTCCTTTAAAAATTCGAAAACTTTTGCCAAATCCGAAAACGCCCAGCAGGGATGTTCCAGATGGAAAATAAGGGTTGGTACCGGCGCTGCTGTTGCTGTTACTGCCGTCCTCGGTGCCACCGCTAGCCCAGTTCGGCTGGAGTTGGATCTGGGGGTTGGCCCCTTTATGGCCACTTGAGCTCTGGATTTCAACCCTCTTTTGCTTTCCATCCCCTTTTACCCAGTATCTACCTACTACCTACTACCTAACCCTCCTATCAACCTACCAACCTAGCACTAGCTAGCTGCTTTCTCTACCCTTCCAAAAAGATTGACTCTACTCTCTCGTAGCTTCAGTTTCAGAACCGCCCTTATCTTTGCTCCGCCGACGTATACCCGGGGCATCCTGGGCTACGCTGGGAGGGACAGAAGATACCAGTGACGTACTTATCCGGCCAAATCTTGGTCGTCCCGCCTTTTCTTTTGCTTGTCTTTTTTTTTCGCAATTCCTTGCTTATCCAAAACCCTCGGGACTTTTTGGGATTCGGAAATGGCCGCATATTGAATTTTAACGAGTGGTTGCCCACCGACTTTCGGACGGCGTATACAATTTGGACGGATTAGCATTTCCAATGTAAATGATAACCATTTTTTTTTCCTCCTTCTCCTCACTCTCTGTTTTTCCAATCACGTCCAATTTTATTATTCATTCTTTCCTTTTCACCGCTTCGTTCTGACTCGCGATTTATTCATTGGGACGTTTCCATGTAAAATTCTGACGTATGGAGATTAAACAGGTCGTAATCGCGTCCCCCAAACTGTCGTCAAACAACTGTCCGCATTCCAGTGGCGTAACGCTACTCCGCGTATCCCAGCACTTTTCAGAGGGTGTATTACAACGATGAATTAATTAAAGGGATTTTAAGTCGTACCGTGGGAATTTCACGATCCCGCTACTTCCCAGTGCTGATTTTCAGAGTACATTTCACTGGCAGTCACCTTGTTTCGTATCTCGACGCGCGAGACTGTAGATCCTTTAGTTTGTTTTTTTTTAATGTAAAATTTCACAAGTTTGTTCAAAGAGATGAGAAAATATCTTAAGGGCCATGGAAACTGAATTCGTTCATTCGTAATACATTTCCTAATTGGTCACACTGTATATAAAAGCTTTCCTCGTGGCAGAGACGAAATTAAGAGATTTCATCGTCAAATTACATAAGAGAATCTTAGGTTCTCCCGTTTTTCCCTACTGTTTCCTGTTAGTTTTATTTTTATTTTGTTCTCCTTATTCGCGGAAAGACACCGGAAGTGCCGGAGCGTAATGCCCACTAAATTCGATTAAAAGTATCGTAAAAATGTTCGCGGAAAACTCATTTCAACTTTTCTAGTTCAGTTTCCATTGGGATTCTCCACACTGGCACAATAATTGTACGCGTCACGGAATTACTCGATTCGATGTGCTTACTTTTTCTTTTCTTTTTTGTTTTTTTTTCAAATTTAATTATATTCCGTAAAATATTCAAATTCCGAAATGTTACTCAGCCTCGTTTTCTCATGAAAGTATACTTCCTCTTTCGAACCGTGAGTGAGGAAACGAAAGAACAAAAAATACCTCTAACAGCCTCAATTCCACAATGACCTCCATATATTCTTATCGGAATTCGGCGGACAAAAAGAAATGAAACTACCCGTGCGTCTATCAATTATTGAAATTCTCATATTTCCTCTTCGACGAGCACGTGGCTGGGTTGTACCTACCGCGTCTATACTGTACGTAACTCAAAGTAAAGAGTTTCCATATTAGTTTTCAACATTGTGCAATAGCTTCGGAATCTCCCATTGTGCGTCCATGTAACAGCCTCCCGATGGACCACATCCGATACTTCGAATCTCGATTTCTCCCAGGCTTTATCCATCCTACATTTTTTTTAATGATTTTCCGAATTCCTTTCGTCCATTCATCTGCTTCTCTGCTGTTCGTCCATTTGTAATCATCTTTCTAATGATTCCATCCTCCCTTCAGTCTGTTCCTCTCACGATATAGGCTTGTTACGAGCAAGTGGCGCGTGACATCTACCGGGAAATTATTACACGACCTCACTAATGGAACTGCCAGAGAGGAAACCCCTTTGTGCTCCAATTTAATTTCGACCTGACTAATTTCACAAGACGAGAAGTAACGTAGTTACCAGGTGATGCTTTCGAACCAGAAACGCATCTATTTTCAAAAAAAAAAAAAAAAAAAAAAA